GAAGTGAGGTCTGGGGTTTCTGAACTTGGGAGGTTCCTGATCAGGCCAGGGAGCTGGAACAGCTCAGGGAATTGAAGGGAAGGGGGCATGGGGTCCAGACCCCCACTCTTCCCTCCTTCTTGCTCTTAGAACATGGCTCGGGCTGGGTCAGTGCCTGGAGCAGGGCTACTCTTATTCTAGAACTAGATTACCTGGGAGAGAAGGGTGGAAAGACCCCAGCGATCATTCAGTCACTTCCACAGACCCTGGTGGGGGATGCCAGGCACCGTGCAGGCTGGGATGCAGAGATATCAAGATGAGGATGATGTGATCCCCTCAGGTTGTGGTCCAGGTGGGGAGAGGGTTGTGCTGCTGGGGTTTGAGGGAGATAATTGGTCACCCCCTTTCCTTAGGGACCCAAATCATACAGGTGGAGATTTGTTGCTGGTGCAGCTGGGGTGGAGCGGGCTTCTGATGACCTGCTTCCTGGGTTAGGCTTTGTCCATTTGAAAGGAGACTGTCTAGCTAACCTCACCTCTGCCCAGCCAGCGCAAGTCCCAAGGGGTCAGGAGAGAGGGGGGCCTTAGAGGTGACCTGCAGTCCCAAGGGGGTGGGGGTGGTGTAGGAAGGAGGGGAGAGGCCTCAGGTTCTCCCTCGCTGTCCCCTTTGGGGAGTGGAGCTGCCAGCCCCTCCTTCCGTGGAAATGTGAGATGTGGGCGATGAGGCGTCTAAACAGCTCAGGGGGTTCAAACCCCACTCCACTCCTCCATTCACAGTCCCTGAGTTCTCCCAGCACCTGGGCTGGGCTGGGCCCAGCAGAGGCCAAGGTGAAGAGGGTGCTGGAGGGAACCGGGGCAGGCAGAGGGGGGAGGGCCACCATAGGTCCGGAGGCCTGGCTCAGGAATGTGAGGAGGGTGTGCTGGGGACCCTGGGCAGGCGGGGAGTCCTTTCTGGACTTGGCTTTCCTCGTTCCACCCGCTCAGCCCTAGGGGCTGGCCTGCTGGCCTGCAGAGGAGCCAGGAGGCTGAGCGTCCCCTCGGAGGGCTGGAGGGGGGACTGAGCCGCTCTGGTTGTGGCCCCCACCCCTGGAAGCAAAGCGCAGAGTCCCTCCCTCCGACTCTGCCCTTTATTTCGTGTTTGGGAGAATTTTATTTCTTTAGCTTTTGGAGAAGAAAAAGCAGCTCAGTGAAAACTAAATTGGAGCTTATTAAGTCACAGTAGCTCTCTTCTGGTTGTTGTTTTGTGGTTTGTGGTTCTTTATGGCCCAGGCCCTGGCTGGAGAGGGAAGGGTTGAGGTCAGGCAGGAGAAAAGCCTGGAATCCTGCTTGTTAAGACTTGGAAGGGGTCACTGAGGTAGGTTTGGCCAGTTCCTCGGGCGTCCGAGAGACCCTCAGGTGGTGGGGCTGGCTGGGCTAAGGGAGCGGTGAACTGCAGCTCTCCCCCCAGCCTCCCCTCCCCTATCCCCTTTCACTGGGGAGAATGTTCTGGAAAATGCCATTGGCCAGTGAACTATTGCTCTACCCTGTGCTCCTCATCCCTCCCTGCCTAGTTCTGTCCTCCCTGGAGAAAGGATCTAGCAGGGACAACAGAGGGAAGTGAGTAAGGGGCTGAGGAGAGAGGTGGGAAAGGGAGACTGAGGACGGGAGAGGAGACCCATCTGGGGGTGGGTGGCCATCCTGGTGATTTCACCTCGGGCGGGATTCCCCCTAACTGTCCCAGTTTGAGCTTTCCTGGCTGTTTTGGACCTGGGGGAGTGGTCTGAGGGCTCCCAGCCACCCCCTCCAGCTCCCCCCTCCTCTGCAGGTGGAGGTGCCCCGTGGGGGAGGGAGGATCAGCCGGGCTCCCCGTGTCCGCCCCACCCCCAGCCTCTGCTCTCCTGGCTCCTTTCACTCCCAGGTATTTTTACTTTTCCCTGGTGCCTGTTATGCGGATCAAAGGAAGGAGGGGAGGCTGAAAGAGGCGGTGGTTTGCCCAGCTCTTGGAGAAGCTCGGAAAAGGCAGGCCTGGTAGGTCTGAGGGCTGGAGGGGACTCGCTGCAGGCAGGCTGGGACCCAGTCCAATGGAGAGAGGCCTTGCCGGTGTCTGAGCAGCTTGGGGCAGGGCCTGGGGCCTTGCGGACGTGATTCTCATCTTGCAAGTATTTGCCTTTCTCCTCACTGAGGCCTCCTTCCCCTGTGTGGCCTCTGTCCTATCCCTGCCTATGGTGTGTGTGTGTCTGTGTGTGTCTGTGTGCGGGCACTGATCAGCCCAGAGGTGCTCAGGCTTCAAGAGAAGCCAGTGTTGAGCCCTCACGAAGGATCTGGAAGCCTGAGCAGGGCCTGACTGTCAGAAGCTGCTGTGCATTTGTCTCCCAGCCTGAGTCTGCCCTGTTGCAGCCTCTGCTCACCACCTTGTCCTGATGCCAAAAATCCCTCCATTTGAAATTCAAGAAAACCAAGCCTGACTTCCTAGGATGTGGGAACTGGGCAGGGCCTGAGAGACCCTCGGGGCCAGCGTGGTGTGGTGGTCAGGGCCTGGGCGGCCTGCACAAGCTCCGTGTCCCTGGGCTGTGTCACTGTTTGACGTTTGGTGCCTCAGCTTCGTCATCTGTGTGATGGGGATAAAAATCCCACCTGGCTCATAGGGATGTGAGTGTCACCTGAGAAGCACCTACGTGGTGGCTGGCACACGGCGCTGTGTTGTCCTTTGCTGTTATTTCTCCATGGGGCACAACTGGCGTTTGGACAAGACAGTCTTTCACTGTGCGGGCTGTCTTGCCCATGCCATCTCTGACCCTGCCTGGATGCAGGCTAGTAGGTGACTCCCATCATTGTGACAACTGAAATGCTCCCACAGGGACAGGATGGCCTCCAGACTGGGTCTTATTCCAGCCCATCCATTTTACAGATGTTGAAACTGAGGACTCCCTAGGGGACAGGAGTGGCCTCCGGCAGGGCAGCAGCAGGACTGCAGGGTGGTCTGAGGCTTCTGCTGTTTCTCTTCTGAATCCCCTAGAACTGGCCTCAGCAGCTAGTATCCCCCATCCCCTCACTCCCCACAGCCCCCTGGGAGAGAGATCTGATAACTCACTCACACAAAGGGGTGAGTGCTGATGAGGGGTCCACACAGGTGTAGCTGCCCCTCTCCTGTATTTTAACAGCTCTTAAGCCTTCCCCAAAGCACTAACCGCCAGCCCTAGGTCACTGAGTCCTGGCTTCCTGCCAGCTTCCCCAGGCTCTCTCAGTGTGACTGGGGCTGGCTTTGAGTCCTCACCCGCCCTGAGTTGCTGTTTGACTTTGGCAGAGTTATGTGGTCCCTCTGGGCTACTGGTTCACCTGCAGAAGGGGGCTGAGGAGAATTAAGAGCCATACTCTTGGCCTCTGAGGAGCTAAATGGAGGAGGGAGCATTCTGATGCGGGGGTAAGATGTGAGGTGAGGGTTTAGAAGAAACCCGGGAGCTGAGGCTGGATCCTGGGGTGTGCCCCCTGACCTCCTCTACCCCCTGTGCAGAGCTGGAGCAGTCAGGGCCTCTGTGGGGTGGGGGATGGGTGGTCCTGAGACCACCACTTGGTCTTGATGGAGGGACCATATTTCCAGGGACACCTCCCACCCCAAACACAAGCTCTTCTTCCAGATGGCTAGGGAAACTGAGGCACAGAACGGGTGAGTGGCTGCTGGTCTTCGTTTGACAAGCCCATGGGGAAGGGGGCCTTGGGGCCCCCCCCAGCCAAGCCCTGGCTCAGCTTTCCGCCTGTCTCCCTGGGGCCTCCTGAGTCGAGGGGAGGGAGGTTGCTGGTGGTAAGGGAAGGCCGGGCCCACACAAGGAAGTCCTGGGGAAATTAGCCCAAATTAGCCACGAGAATGAGGAAGAGCTGGTACTCCTTCCTCCACCCTTGCAGATAAATATTTAATCACAACAACAATAATGACGACCGTCATCATAACGTGCACTAGCTCAGGCCAGAACCCAAGCCCCACTCGCAGAGGGAGGAAGTGGGGAAGAGAGAAGGAGCAAAAAGAAACTAAGAGAGAAAGAGCCTTAGAGAGGGGGAGGGGAGGGG